TAAATATCGCGCTCTACTTTTACGTATCGAGCACTGTAAAACGGAAAAATCAAAACAAAAGACTTCCTATATATATATATACTTTGCAGCTTCATGTTATAAATTCAGGTTCTAGTGTTTTAGGCACTACAAGTATAAGAACCCTAACTATTAGGGTATACTTAGTTGTGGTAGTCTCGTTTATCATTTTAGCGTTGTAAATAGAGTGAGTTTGGTAGTATTGTAAAAGCAAACAAAAAAAAAAGCAAAATATGTTGTCGCGTTTTTTTGGATATAAACATCACCATGTTTCATAATTAAATCGTTGTAGCTTGTTTGAGATGTGATAATAACTGCAATTTTCGCCATCTTATTAATGTTCCAATTTTGATGACCATGTGCTCTGCACTGCAATCGTCTCTGTTAGGTTTTGTCGTAGTAAACAAATGTCGCATTATAGAAATACCAATTAAGACAACTGCTAAACAGGAGAGCATGACGCTTCTCCTTCGGGTGTTGAAGAGACCCGAATTTTTCGACCAGACCCTAAATTCTTGGCTTTTCCTTAAGGTAATTTCCTTACTAGAATAGTGCACTCATATTGCAGGGATAACACTTTGAAATCAAATAAAACCCTGATTTTTCTCATTTTTTTGAGTTCCTTTATCCAGTTGCATGAATTGGTAATTCCACCGCTTAGAAACTAGGCAATGTATCATAACATGCTGGATCCTTACACAACAGTAATTTTAATACTTCTTTAAAATACTTGAAATATTGTAAGTATTCAACTAGATGTTAAGTTTGTGATTAATTTTTTTAACTATTGCTTAAGAATTACTTTGAATTAGTTTCTAGCGCTCAAAATTAGTTTAGCAAAGAGAAATTAACACAAATAAAGTTTCTTACTCTATCTTATCTCATAGTTTTGTCAGCTGTTACACTTTCAACGAAAGGAATATCTAGAAACATATCTACCCTACAATTCTATGTTCTTTTAAATTAATATATTAAGTCATTTTTCACCACGCTATGAGTTCATTTTAAAAGACTCTAGGCATAGATAAAACTGAGCACTGCGTGATATTGTCTAAATGACTTATCTACAGTTCTAATAACCCCTGCTTTCAATTTTTTCTTTGATTGCATCGCTGTTTCCTTGTTTGCAGTCTGTCTGTAGTTTTTTTTTCTTGTATTGGTTATTTGGGCACCATCACTACTGTACCTACTTACTGCTGTGAGTCAACTAAGAAACCATGGAAATAGCGCCTCGAGTCGAAGTATTATGTTATCTCCACAATGTAAGCGTTTTCCAAAGACTTAATTAGAGGTAGTTAATGCTGCATGTACATTTTTCCGCGGATGGCAGCTAAAATATCGCACCACCACACAGGCACCTTACTGTACAATGTTCTAGACTTTGGCCTGCGCTGTTTTCGCCAGCAAAATTCTTCGTTTCAGTGCACAGACAATGGCAGCATCTTCCTACCACGGTCGGAAGTTTGAAATTAGTCACTTGCCTGGTTTAGATTTGGAATTGTACCAATTCCTACCATAATGCATTTATTATTTAAAAGACTTACTTACTGGCTCTTCTCCACCTTTTCACAAAATGAACACTTTATAGGATTTCCAAACTGAGTACCTGGGTCAACAAGATAATAACTAAGAGGTTTCTAGGCAGGGCAGCTCGAAGTTTAACTCTCTATGTAGCGTACTGTAAACCTCGCACAAATCGTGCGCCAACCTTGTCCCATTGTTTTAGCAACCACGCATCATTATTATGACAACTGTTTGCCAGTTTTGATTGAACCTTGCACAAACGGTATCTCTCCTTAGAAAAGTGTGCCATTTTTTCCCCGCACAAAAACTTGCACAAATGCTAGCAAAGCGGCACAGTGACTAAGGTCTGCATTGGTAATGGTAAGGTGATAGATCTTCGAATGTTCGCCAGCAAGGGGGAAGGAAGACATTTTCTGTCTCCTCCTTTAAGTGAAAGCCACAGCCGACACACTTAAAGGAGAAAAGAGCTTGAAAGCTGTTCAGCCATTTTTGAAAGACAAAATAAAAATGATCACGCTAATTTCGTTTTTGTACCGATAAAACAATCTTGAGAGTGTTCGCTTCAGGAAGTTTCTTAATTTCACTTCCAGCTCTACATTTGCGAATGGCTCCGGGTCATATTTTCTTCGTCTTTTACTGGCACTGGATATCAATTTGGTTTCGATTTCACCACAGTGCTCTCCAAATAAACAGTCACACTTGTATTTGCGTCAACTCAGGCGTAAAAGGCTGCATCCATTTAGTTCAAGCTGCGATGTTTTCACCATAGATATCTGAAAATAATCTCCTTAAATTTTAAAACCACCCAACCCTTAGAACTAACGCCAGAC